AGAAGAAAGTCATATACACCAAGGATTACTTGATGGTGAGTAATTTATGGGCTAATTTTAATTTTTGGGTGAACTAACCCTTTAATTCACCAAAAGATCCCTCAAAATTTTCCTATAGGATTTTATAATAGTGTTATAAAATCCTGTCTTTACTTTTACGTTCTACTACAGTTTCCATTTTTCCACCATGTGACCCACTCTGTCTCATCTTCCACTGAACCTGCCAAAACCAAAAACCCCAGCTTGAGTGCGAGTGTGTGTGTGTGTGTGTGTGTGTGTGTGTCACAAATCTCCTCTCGCTGCGGTTGCGGTTGGGAATCTGCTCCAAAGAAAACACGGTTTAAATAGCAGAAATGTCCTGAAGGTGAAGGGCACATTCCCGGCCTGCCGATAATTTTTCACCCCTTCACCCTGGGCCAATCAGGCCTTCACTTGCCAGTCTAGCGAGCCCATTATTAAGAGGCAGATCAAGGCCGAGGGCGGTCACTACTATATGTTTGAAGTCGGGTTGGGGAATGTGTAATCAGCCTGAGAAAACAGCTGCCAGAGTCTGAAGGCACCACAGGAACTCTGATGTCACCGTCTAGAGAGCCGTCCCTACCCTGAAGACAACAGCCATCTGAGAACAGCAAGGGACTATCAAGTGACTGATCTAGCCTGAAGAAGGGGTTTTACAGTCAGTGTTCTTCTGACACCGACTATTAGGTCATTGAGATAATTGGGGTTATCATGTTATCTGGTGTGTACATCAATGTATCCGTCACAAAAAGGCTGTGTGGTGAGCTGTAAAGCATGTACGTTCACATAAACGGTTCTTTCGATAGTAACAGTTAATAAGTTCACTACCTAGATCACTCTAGGAACCACTGTGCAATACACCTACTTCATGTGTCTGGTAACAGTCTGATTTTGAAAGTAAAAACTCCATAGATTTTTTATGATATCTTATAGGCCTACTGTGATGTTGTGAATTAATGGTATATGCTTTTGTTGAAACAATCAGTCCACAATATTTTTTCAAATAATCATGTTCAACAGTGAAATTCCTGGTGATAAAACTACATTACCCATGATTCTCCACCAATTAGAAAGCAAATTGTAACAAAATATCTCTTTAGCGGCCTCCAACTTTCATGGAAGTCCCTACACTCTCAAAATACTAAAATATATTTATGTAATTTACAATGCTTCATATGACTGTAGTTCTTTCCCTTATTGAAACTGTTAAGTACATAGTCTTGTACGCATCTTTTTGTGCCATTTTGAAATACTTTTTTTTTTTGCTTCAAATCAAAGTTTGTAATGCTGTGATTCACCTCGTAGCCAGTTGGTTTGGTTCATGGCTCATCCCTATGAGAAAAAATGAATGGGAAAGAACCAAGGCGGATATAAAAGTAGGCAGCCACTGATGCACTCTGTTGATTTTAGTATAAGTTGATGTTAGCATGTTGCTTCGCTAACAGCACAACAGTCAAAAATACATAATGCACATATTTTGGGTAAAAAACTCTTAAAAATAAAGGTTCCCAAATGGGTTTTTTTTTCACTGTGATGTCATAGAATAACCATTTTGGGTTCTCGACAGTACCTTTCAGTAAACCGTTCTCAAGAACTATAATGTATAAAGAACTATAAAGCATCTCACTGGTATTGTAGTGGCGGGTTTTGCACTTTGACTTCAAAGACTTCTTCATAAAAAAGCAAAAATGTAATTTAATGCAAAAGAGTTTTGCATTGTTTTTCTGTTCAATACCAGCAATATGAAAGGCCAGAATACATCAAAACATATAGTGACGGTACAGACACGCCTATTGCAAATCCTACACGGTCAGATTTTGGAACAAAGACAACAACACAGAGATAAAGCCTGTGGACTTCTTTATGCCCAAGTATTATTTTGGTATAATGAAGTTAAATATGAACCAGATATTTGTTCAACATCTTTTCATTGGATGAACACAAGCATTCTTTATTTGCTCGATGGTAAATTAATCATTAAGTAAACATGGGCTTGGCCTTCACAGATACAAGTGCTCTTTGTGAGACAATGTCAACATCAGTTGAGCCTTCAAAAGAAGTTTCTTTGTTAGAGATGTGTGCCTTTGTGCACTCCATTTGAAGACATAATCAAAACTATAGATGCAGAGCTCATCATTTGGTCTTATAGAGACTGATCTCTTGCTTAACATTAAAGCCTTTGTCCATCAGCAGATTTAGAAGATATTTAGCTTTGCCAAGGTGTTGCTATGTGTACGTGAAGGTGTTCGGAGGGGTTTTAGCAAGCTGATATAGTGTTCTAGGGTTGCTAGGTTTTTCTAGGAGTTTCTGTGACTGCGTCTGAATATACCTACTTCCATACTATATAGTATGCAGAAAACAGTATGCCAAAAGAGCAGTACATCCGAAAAGACAAAAAGTACTCGGATGACCTAACACTTCTGCTGAGATTCTAGATGGTGCATTTGATGGAAACTTTATTGTCCAATGACAATGTTACTGTCCCATGGTGGATGTAGTACATCTGAATTTCAAACATACTACCCATATTTTTACTATATATAACTATATTTTTAACAGTTTTCCTAATGCAACAAATGTGCACAATGCAGTTAGACCTTTAGTTATCCATTTCCTAAAACCTACATCAATGAGCCCTGGTTTAAAATCAAATGCCACCCATCTCAACAATTTCATCAGATTTTTAGGTTATGCTGCTGATTTAATTTAAAACATACTTCAAGTGTAGTAACTGATATTTGATTTAGATTATTTTTAAGACCAACGATTTTTCTTTATCACCTAAAAGACACTGTATAGTTAAACCCCAGTTTGCGAGTTCTATCTTACCACATAGGGTTACACCAGCATACGCTTATTCACTTAAATTATCACCAGTAAAGTATGGAGTGCCACAAGGATCTGTCCTAGGTCCTCTGCTATTTTCAATATACATGTTACGCAAGGTCTAGTTTGCGCAGTGTTGCCAAGTCCGCAGTTTTCCAGAAGAATTAGGCTACTTTAACACTGTTGCCACGACCCCAATAACGTGATATTTAGCCTCTGGAATGCGAATTTTACCAGAGGAACTCTGCCAAAAACGTGTATTTTACCCCCGGGAACGCGATTGGGCTAGTTTTGAGTAGCAATTGGGCGGGTTTTGTTGTGAAAACCTGGCAATCCTGATTTTGCGCAACGTAAAAAATATTCCAGTAGATTTGACAGGACTAATCCTCTTTTGTCCGTTGCCAGCTGTAAAGTTATATTTCTTATTCAAGTTTCCCAGATAATCCCAGATAAATTACGAAACCATCCTGTCCCAACCCTGAATTTAATCTTAATCATTACTGGCAAAGCTTATAAAAGATAATACTTCAGTTTTTATGTGTATGTTAGCGTATGTGTACTGTGCCCATAGGGCTGGACAATAATTCAATATCAATATGTATCGCGATATAATTTTTTTCAATAACGGTGATATGATTTTTAAACACATTTCCGATATTTCGATATACATTACCAGTTTCCCATACATTGATTTATTTGTGCCGTTTGACTTCGTTGAATAAACATGGGAAAGAAATTATAGAAATTATACTTTTATTTAGCAAGGATGCTTAAAATTGATCAAAAGTGATGATAAAGTCATGTATGATGTTACAA